TTAAAATTATTTTAATAAGAATAAACAATAATATATTTATAAATAAATAGATATTTTAATTTTTCAATGATAAATTATAATTATTTTTCTTATTTTATAGGTATTATTCGCCCTTAATCAAACCCTACAAAGCATCGATAATGAAAACAAAGTGAATGTTTCTCGAAACAGCGACGATCTTATCCATCATTATAATTGCCGCAATTTAAACTCTATTATTTTCAATCAAGACACGACTCAATTACCTAAACTGACCAATATGACGTCAGAGGATATGGATGTTGCACGTGACATGGAACATTACTTCCGGGATGAATTCATTTATAAGAGAAACAAGAAAATAGGAGATCGGGTCATTCAACTTATCCTAAATCATCCCAATGAAACTTTCTTCTTCGCATTTGGTGCAGGTATATTACTACATCTTTTTACTTTATTTTATCATTTTCCTTTTAACATTTTATCTATTTTATTTCCGATACTTAAGGATTTTCTGTTTTGTAAATGCTAAATCGATGCTATTGTTCGATAGAAAAGCAAACAAATATTAATCAACGTAGAAAAAAAAAATTGGAGAGTTTATTGTAAAATGTAAGAATGTTAGGAAGAAAAAAAAATCAATATTTTATTGAATTATTCAAGTTATATTTTTCTTTAAAAATGATTTTAGGCAATAAGAGAATAAATGAGTTAATTTTATGACAAAATATTATTCGAATTTATATTTTAAAGTGCTTTTAATATTAGTAAATATTTCATATAAGATATTTTGCGTGAGCGAATTTGCTTAGTTTAAAAATATGTTCTCTATATTCTCATAACGATTGTAATTTTTTAAATAAATATCTAATATACGAAATTATTTATTTATTTAAAAAAAATAGGATCATTTAAACTTTATTACATTAAAAAAATTCACAAAAGTATATTAATAAGTCTTCTGAATTATTATTATTATTATTATCGTTTAAGAAATAAAAATAATTTTTTAACATTAAAAGATTTATTAAAATTATAATTAAAATTAAAAAATAGGATTTTGTTTGATTAAAATTTTATTTTCATTAAAAGAATAAATTAATAGTAAATTGAAAATTATGTCGATTAAGTTTATAAGATTAAAAAAATAATAATAATAAAGACATTTTACAATTAGAAATGAGACATCAAAATAAGATTAAAAGAGATAGAGAGATTAAAGTAAAAATAATTTTTTTTTAATTCNCAGACAGAGCACGTTGCAACTTCGTTTCGTTTGCAGTTAGAATTAAGACTCGAAAAATAAAAACAGATAGTTTTATTCGAAGGAAACAAAAGAAGGCAGAAGTTATTTTTCTTATATTCATATACAGTATTTAAAAGCGAATAAAGTCACTTAGTTCACACACTTCCCATTGATCAAATTCGGCAAATGAAGTCTCAAATTAAACCTTACGACCTCTTGATGTGTAGAAAACTATAAGAAAATTTAAATATATTTCAATGCGATTGAATTATCAACGATTATAGTGATTTTCGATCGGTCATCTAACCAGTATTAAGTTATTATCACATGGCCAATTATTAGATTATTTTGTGTTTACGATAATCTCTAACTATATTGACGTGTATATTTTATAAAAACTATAAAATTTCAAATGCATTTGTAACGTTTGTTTCACATTTTATCAGGTGACAGTGTTATTACGTGCTTCATTTTGACGCAAGTAAGATGTTAAAGATATTGAATTTTATTCCATGTTTTACTTTAATGAGTATAAAACTGATAAGTATTGTTATTATAAATATGTCCACAAGCAAAAGAAGCAATAGATGATGTAATTATGATAATTGTACAGACTTTTTTCTCACTATAACAAACAAATAATAATGCTGTACTTTTTAAAGTAACTTCCTCATTTTTTGACATTTTACTTCATTAATACTTAGCTATTTTGAGTAGAAGTTACTTTTAGGTATTTTTTTACAGGCCTATATCTAGTCAATTCCCGTCGAAAATGACGGATTATATGTTGTTTAATAAAGTAATATAAGCTAATTAAGTAACTAACAAAGTACAATATTTTATTAAATAAAAATGTAATAAAAGGTTTATAAAAATTTCTATCAACCAAAAATATTATCAGTTATATTTTTTTATTGTAAATATGAGTATTAATTAATATAGCTTGAATAGGATGAAATAGATTCATATAATTATTTTAAAAATAAATATAAATAGAATTTTCGATATAATGCTTTAAGGCTGGAGACACAGGATCGTATAATGTACTGTACGTCTGTTGTAGAGTATATTGTAACTTGCATTGTAGAATTATTGTGTTCTATTAAAGACCTCACACGTTCAGTGTTTACACTTTTTAATGTGCGTGGAACAGATGTATATTGTACAATGTGTTATCGACGTACTCAATGTACAGCGAACGTCAAGACTTGTTCACGTATGTACTGTACGTACTGTATTGTACAGTACATCGTTAACACAACAGCTGAAAAATGCAAGAAGCCGCACTAAATTTAACTCCTGTTTTGTAAATATGTTAAACTTTTATTAATATTAATATCTAAGATTGAAAAAAAGAACATTATTATGAGATACTGCACATGAAGATTATAAGGACAAAAACAAAATCTCAGCATGAATTGATGTATGTTCATGCGTTCATTTTATTTGACAACGTTTCTACGAAATTCGAAACTGAGTAAAAAGTAATTCGTAAGTATTGTTTCATATTTTTATACTAATAATTATTCTTTCATACTTCCATGATACTGTCGTTTCATAATATTACTCATAAAGTAATTAGTTAAAGCTTCTCGATAACGATTGATGTTTACATTATCATTGTCTCAATACTTCTCAAAACCACAAAAACTTAAAGAATCATTAAAATTGAAACTCTTACGTTTGCGAACAAATGTAGTACACAAAATTTTACAGTGTCAACAGCGAAATTAATAGTACTTGATTGCTTGCTTTTTTCACAATTAATTGTATGAACATACAACTAATTGTGAAACACTATTTTTGACGGAAAAGTTAGATTTATTTTCTATAATTTACAATGGATATTCATCAAAATGAGTGTTTTTGTGTGATTTGTTCTCAATAGCAACTTTATACTAAGTTCCTAAGAACATACAACAAAATGTAATGTTTGCATAAATTGGTCTAAGAAATATTCTCCACTTATTAGTTAGAATGTCAAACGTGCATTCGGTGTAGCATCTAGCCATAGATAATTAAAAACTTTTTATTTATTGACAAATGAGTAACAGAGTACGGCCTAAATAAATATGTAATTAATCCAAATGCTTCATTTCCAACGAAAGCGAAAGATATATAAATTTCATTTTCAGGTATTCGTGTAGGCACAGGGTTTATTTTCCATTTTTTCCAAAACGAAGAGTTTTAATATAGAAAAGCTTATTCTTGCTTTGTCTGTATAAATGAAGATATACGTAGTAGTTTATCAGCAACAACCAATAACACAAGAAAAACATGCATATAATTCATATATAAAGGCTTACTTTTAACACTAGCTGTAGCTCTTGGTTTTATTCTTCTAACAACTCGTATATGCTTCTCGTCTATTGTGTCTAAACAGTTAAGAAAATTATTTTTTGAAACCCATATGCATTATCTTACACTTTTTCACTTTTTTTTATCGGGGACTTTTATTATTTCCTACATGTTTTGCATATTTCCCATGCTACTTGTATAGTAGATCTTCCAATTTTGTAACTGTAGTATAAATCGTTAAAACTATATTCAGTGGCAAGATATCTAAAACAATTATTTATTGTGACATCGTCACAAATGTCAGGCTGCAATTTTTTATCATATTCTTATACAAATTGGAGATTTATTATACAAATTGGAGATGGAGAACATACATTTTAAATTGAATGAATTAATCATTCAATTTAAAATGTATGTTCTCCATCTCCAATTTGTAGTGACGTGCCCCTGTACATCATACTTTTCCTGATAACAACAGTCATGCTGGCATCTATAAAACTGTAGTCAGGGGAAAAGTTTTGAATTGAATTCACGTGACGTTCGTATACAGTTAGTCGGGGCCTTCTGAGGTTAAGGAAGGACAGACAGACAGACATTAGTGGTAATTTATAGGTCTAGAATTTTTCAAATTGTAGCTTAACAAAATTTTTTATTACTGTACAAGATGACATGGAAACATGAAGGACTATTAGAGATAATTATGTTAGAAGTCTAAAATTTAAACAGAATCCTACAGGTCTGGTTCTGGCGCTAGAAAAGTAAAAAATTGCATATTCGGAGAGACCAATTATCCTTTCTAAAACCAAAAGCTACAGTTAGCAGTGTTGAAAATGAAAGTGGGAAATAATGGCGAAGTAGGTAATATCAAGGTGGTATTGATATCAGCAGGAAGCAGATGATATTAGTATAAACTAGCACACAGCTACTCCTTATGCATTAAATAAACTTCTATCTCTAAAAAACATAAAAGAGTTGTCATCGACAGTTTATTGATGGATTTTATGCAAGCCCTTGTTCAAGATATAAAAGACCAAGAAAATGAAGATGTTGCTTTTTTTTAAATCGCTTCTTTCCACAATTAAAAGCTTAAATACCGACTAAAAATTTATTTTTCAGATTTCTAAACAATGCAATTTATGCATTGTTTTGAAATCTGAAAAATAAGAAAACTTAAGAAAACTTACACGAGCGTACAAAGACATCCAATTAAGGCTTACCATGTGCATCTTTATCATCAGCGTCGTCATATTTCTCTAAATTTTCATCTCAAGATTCATCATCGATCAACAATTACAATTTACAATTCAATCTCTCAGCGCTATTAGTTTATTAAGTTGTATCAAATTTGCATTTACGTAAATACTAATAATATTCTGCTTTTAATGCCCAATAATATTTTAAATAATAATAAACCTTACCTTAATGTTACAAGCATCTATTCAGATGTACTGTATTGCAATCTTTATACTTTTCTCCGTGCATTATGTTATCTTTCAGATAGGATAATAATAATTCATCAAAAGAATTTTTAGACATTCCGAAGCAGATTAAAAACCTTCTGTGTCTTTTTTAAGATGCGTAAATAAGGTTTTAAAATGGCCAGACAGATAGATGTTCACTGTTTCTGAGGTGAACCCACAACTTTCTTTGTTTGCGTTTAGTTTTTAGATGTTTTTCTACTAAATAAGAAAGGACAACAATTTAATTAACGTCCATCTTGTCTTTGCAATTTTCTTTAAAATATTGTATAACTTCATGTTAGACAACCTCTGCAGAAGTATTTTTCTGAAGCATTTCTATCGTGAAGTACTGTACATTATACGCTCGTTTCTCCCCAGCCTAAGTAATAAAATTAAAAATATTTTAATGCAGTTTTATATGATAATAAGCATATATACTAATGAATTTATATTGAATAAAATTATATTAAAATATTTTTTAAAATGTTGAAGAATTTAAAATAAGTTAAACTCGAAGTATTTACTCTTTAATTTAAAATAATAAATGTGTAAGCATGTCAATAAGCTTGGCAATTATTATAATAATAATAGTACAGAGTAAATATAATATTTTTTGTAATTTTTGTAGGCTGTATATTCAAATTAATCAAAATAATGAAAGTAATTTAAAATTATTAAATTTATTAAAGTAAAATTATACAATTTCTCTATTATATTTATATTTGATTAGTTTTAGAATTGAAATGTTTCTAATGCATTCATATGAATTAGAATAAAACATGCGTATATTTTCTATCATTTCTACAATATCTATACTGTAGGCCCTATATCCTATATTTTCTATTGAACTTTTAAAAAAATTTAAATATTAAACTTAAAATTTAATTAAAAATACAATTTACAATATTATTAGAATAATTTAATTTATTAAAATTGATTTATATAGTTTTATTTTTAATTTTAATTCAAATAAAGGTCATTTTCTGGGCAACAATACCATTTTGGATTTCATTCAAATCGAAGGTTTTCAAGTAACCAACATACCCTCTAATAAAAGAATATTTAAGTAAGTATTATTTTCCTTTTATAACACGATTATTCTGTGTTAAAATCATAACAATATTAAGAAATTAAAATTATCATTTTATATATTTTTTTCTGATATTCAAGAGACAAATATATCTTTGGTATAATGTTTTATTATTTGAATTTTTCCATTCACAAATCGTTTCCACGTTGGACGACTTCCAGCTTATCTAGTAGCTGTTTCATGTTCACATTTCTAACGTGTTCAATATTTTTCTAATGTCCTCAATCCATCTTAAATAAAATACAATAGGTCTATATGTAATTTAATACGTACTTATGCAGTGATAAATCATTTAAAAGATAAGAAATCAGAAATGGTTGATTTATCATTTCTAGAGAGATTAACGCATAATAAATTTAGTTTTTCTTTTTAATTCGTATATTCATTCGTTTAAAGTGATATTTAAAGAATTTTTATAAGATCGTCGTTTTGCAAAATGAATTACTCTAATTTAATGAATGAACTCTAGAAAAATTTACATCCGACGTTTTCAATTGACCAATAATATAAAATAACAACAGTAAAACAAATGGCTTATTAAGTCCAAACTAATGATAATCAAGCACGAAAAGTCTAATTATTCAGTTTCTATATTTTCGTGTTAATTATTGAAATAAGGACAACGATAATATTTCTGTCCTTAAAATGTTTTTGTGCCAATCATACAAATTCTTTTTAAAAATAGGATATAAATCATATGACAATCTCTTTAATATTCATTTGAGATTCTTTTCTGATCTTGTGATCTAATCTAATTTGGATGATAAGTGAGAATACTTACCATTATAAAGATAAAAATTGCCATTAAATACATGGATCTACCAATATTCGCTTTATTTTTATTTTTGAACGTCAGGTCCACCGTAAGGTTTAGATAACTCGGGCATTGTCTAAGGGTGCAGGTTCAGAAGGGCTGAAAAAATCGAAAATTAAAATGCTGATGAATTAAAACAAAATTCTCCTTATACTCGAAAACTTCCTAATGTGAGATACTTTTTAATTCTATCAATGTCAATTGTTATATGTTAAATTATAGGCTATGTCTGATTTAACATCTGAATATTATCTATATTTAAAACGGTTTTTATAATATTGTTGGGGTTGTTGAAGAGTCTTAGAAGTCACTTTTTCCTCTATTTGTCAGTAGTAAATTTTTTTATTATTTTTAAATGAAGAATAAATTTTTATAGATTTTTCTGCCTAATGTTTTATGAAAAAAATATCCTAAATGTTTCTGATAAGCCAGTGTATTTTTCCACATGAACACAATTTTCTTTTTATATTTGCTTTCCTTTGGACACATTTTTAAAGTAACTATGTTTAAATTCTTTATCTTTCTGACAATTACTATAGAAAAAATTTAATTATTTTGCACGAGAAAGTTTTTAGTATCTCCATTTATACAGGAGAAAAATCTATTAAAAATGTAATTTGGAAATAAAAATGTAATAGTGGATTCTTTTCTGCAATTCTACCACTAAATATATACTTTATTGTTTTCATAACATTTTTAATAGTAAATTATTTTTAACTATATTTAATAAAATAGTTACGAAAGACTGGAAAAAAATTATCATTATAAAATTCATTAGAAACTGAAAGTAGGTTTTATAAAATTGTAAAGAGAGTGTTAAGGAATCTGACTACAGCCCTGGAGTCTCGAGATCGAATCTGAGAGGAAATCCCAAGAACTTTTCAGGAGATGGTCTGTTCCAGATACAAAATAAAATTTATTTATGACGACATATATCTGATCTTTACGTCACACGAGTAGACAGAGTTTATAACATGACATGACAAACAACAGACAGAGCACGTTGCAACTTCGTTTCGTTTGCAGTTAGAATTAAGACTCGAAAAATAAAAACAGATAGTTTTATTCGAAGGAAACAAAAGAAGGCAGAAGTTATTTTTCTTATATTCATATACAGTATTTAAAAGCGAATAAAGTCACTTAGTTCACACACTTCCCATTGATCAAATTCGGCAAATGAAGTCTCAAATTAAACCTTACGACCTCTTGATGTGTAGAAAACTATAAGAAAATTTAAATATATTTCAATGCGATTGAATTATCAACGATTATAGTGATTTTCGATCGGTCATCTAACCAGTATTAAGTTATTATCACATGGCCAATTATTAGATTATTTTGTGTTTACGATAATCTCTAACTATATTGACGTGTATATTTTATAAAAACTATAAAATTTCAAATGCATTTGTAACGTTTGTTTCACATTTTATCAGGTGACAGTGTTATTACGTGCTTCATTTTGACGCAAGTAAGATGTTAAAGATATTGAATTTTATTCCATGTTTTACTTTAATGAGTATAAAACTGATAAGTATTGTTATTATAAATATGTCCACAAGCAAAAGAAGCAATAGATGATGTAATTATGATAATTGTACAGACTTTTTTCTCACTATAACAAACAAATAATAATGCTGTACTTTTTAAAGTAACTTCCTCATTTTTTGACATTTTACTTCATTAATACTTAGCTATTTTGAGTAGAAGTTACTTTTAGGTATTTTTTTACAGGCCTATATCTAGTCAATTCCCGTCGAAAATGACGGATTATATGTTGTTTAATAAAGTAATATAAGCTAATTAAGTAACTAACAAAGTACAATATTTTATTAAATAAAAATTTAGTCTACATCGCAACTTTCTTAAAAACAATATTTCTGGTAGATGTATTATTTTATTATCATTATGTGTAATTTTTATTTTCACTAAAATATTATTAGTTGAACTCAACGTACTGTAACTTTAAAGTTATCCTGGTTATCCTCAACACAGGGAAAGTTTATCCTGATTAGTTTTCTTAATGGCTTGTCCAAACTTCTTTATAGTTCTTTCGGGTCGACAAATTTAATGTAGCAGAATGATTTGAAAGATCACTTATTAAAAGCAAAGAATGTAATTTGAATAGTTATTTAAAATAGATATTTAACAAAGAACTAAACCATGCGGTCGCTAAGTTGTCACAACATAGATATTGTAGAAGACCACGGTGCCTGTACTTGCGACCTCCAATGTTTTATTTATAGTTAATCATGCTTTATACATTAAAATTGTTATATTTATTTATTACTTTATATTTTAAAGTCATTTCTCGCAATCGTTAAAATATAATAATTAATATACTGTATAATTTTTTTTAAATATGATTTTATGATGTTTAATTAGACCAGTTTTTATAGTAGATATGTTTACTTCAAATGCTTTATAGTTATATTTTTTTCAATCTTCAAACTTCATTTAACCGAAAATATTTTATTTGGGTTTTTTTTTTAACTTTGTCTATGCTATAAGCATTAAAAGGACACTTTATCATGACTGTTATGGGTTCGTCCAGTTCATAATGGAAGCAGACCACTGGTGAGGATCGAACTACCCAAAAAACTTTCTGAGTTGACCCAGACAGGAATCTGGAACATCCAGAATGACAAGCTGACGTTTTTATTGTTTCAACCGGCCTGTCTAATATGTTGTATCAGAAATATGATCTTTATGAATTTTTGTTCTATTTTTTTTCTATATTTACCGTCAATAAACTTAACAGACACATTATTAACTTCATTGACTCGAATTAAGGTTTAAGAAAAATTATTATTATTATTATTATTTTTAAATAAATATACAATGAATCTTTGAGTATGATTCGTTGAATGATATTCAGCCATATTTGGGATAAGTTAATATCAATATTTCTTAAATATAAAACTTTTTAAATAAAAACTACATATTAAAAAAAAATAAAAAGGAACTTTTAATGTTCTGAAATTAGAAAAAATAAAATATTGAATGAAATTAAACTATGCAAACTTTATTTAACCGAAAATATATACACTCAATGTACAAAATTACGAAAATTTTTCGTACTTTTATCATATTTTTCCTATTATCTAATAGCTTAATTATTAATACATTATACTCTTATACTCTGTAGATATTGAACTTGTGAATATGTAGCACAAAAACTTTTGAATGAGCGTTAACAATAAATAAAATCGAAAATTCTACAATAATACACGTTACGACTCGCAACTATTACTTTGTAATATTTATCATTTAAAATTATTTCAATGTTATTATTTAAATTAAATATAAATAATATTATTGTCCATTAACTATTTTTATCTATCATTCATTTAAATAAATGAATACAATAAATATTGTAACATAAATAAATGAATACAAGAAATACAATAAATATTGTATTTCTTGTCACATATTAAATTTTTCATTTCAATTTTTTCTAAAAATGATTGAGCAGAGTTTTATAATTTCGAGATTATATATCGTTCAAATAAGGTATACAGTATTTTTTCAAGGCAATTTTCATTCAATTTTTTTCCCTTTTTAGATGTATTTAATCCTAAAGTTTTTTCGAAAAAATATTAAAAAGAAATCAGTTAAAGTTTTCTTCATTGCAGACAAGTCTTCAATTACTTCTCTATAAAGAACAATACGTTTGGGAAAATGTCTTGATATAAAATTAACTTTTCATTTGTTTCGATTATTTCTATTAAAAGTTTCCTCTTAATCATTTCTCTTTCTATTGATCTGTTGGTGTTGAAACTGCGAATTAGAACTTTTATTTTTAAGAATTATATTAACCAGTTTTACTTTTTAATGCTGTAATAATCCCTTATGAAAACAAACTCAATTACAGTTACAGTAACAAAAAAAATCAATAAAGTTTGTGTACAGATTTAAAAATATTTTTTTTAATTAAATTTTTATCTTTTTCAATTTTAGACAAAGGAAATCTGATGATAAATACACGAAGGGGTTGCTGTATGATTGGAAACAAAGAAATAATCCTCGAAAGAAAAGAATTGCCCATAAACAACGTTACAAGAGAGTTCGAAATGTAATGAAGATAAAAAATCTCGAAAATAAGTTTCCTAAAAAAATAGATGATAAAGTTTGGTTTAAATTAGAAACAAAATAATTGTAATTTATTTAATTTTCTATTATTTATTGATATATTTTATATGTACTTTAACGAATTTTTAATCAATTTTTTCGGTTTTATAACTTAACAATTAGAATGAGTATAAAATTCAGAAACTTGAATAGGAAGTTGTACAAAAATTTTTGTGTGTTAAGACGATAAACACTGACTATGCATGAGATTATAAGCTTATCAATGTTGTACACAAGTAAATGGAGAAAAATGTAATTCCCAAATCCTGTTTATTTATATAGCTGGAGATTAAACTTAGCTTGTAAAATTTATGCAAAAAATGTATGAGTATCTTTTTAAAAATTTTATTTTTATAAAGAAAGTTTATTTCTAAAAAAAACTTTTTAGAAGAAAAAAATCATTTAATTCTTTATTTTCCACGGAAAAAAAAATTATGTACTGTATAGTAAAATGAAAGGTTAAAATTATTAAAATCGTTATAATTTAATTTTTATTTTATTTATTTATTCATTTGTGTTGGAAACTGAAAGGAAAGATCTAAACTCGAATAATTTGTAAATAATAATAAATAAAACTTATCACGAATTGTACAATGCTTTTCTTTTTTTATCGTTCTTTACTATTAGTTATACGTCAACAAAATCCATTAAATTATAATTCATTAATAGTTAATGAAATATAATATAATTTTCTACTTTAGGAGTTTCCAGGGTGCCGAGTTTAAATATTAGTTCATTTTTCGAGAAATTTGATTGGTTGGCCGATTTTATAAACGGTACTGTGCGTCAGAGTTAACATTATAAAAATTTTCGATGTCTTGAATTATCTTTTCATGCTGACGGAAGTCAACAACTATTTTCTGTTGAAAAACATCAATTTTTGTCTCTCTGAACAACGAAATTGCTCATTCCATACCATCCGAGGATCACATTCTTAACATGCACAAAGCATGTAGATCTATTTCGGAGAATTTTCCAGCGTGCTAAGCGTGAATCTTGGTCTTTTTGCCTCGAAGTCTGGTTGTTAACATTTAACAAAAAGTAAAATAAATGGTTTTTGTTGTTGTTAAATGAATTTAAATACGATTATTTTGTTTTTTTTCCTTTCTTTCTTTAAAGTAGATTTTTTCCGTTCTTATTCTGTTTTGTTATTTTTTTTTCTTATTATAGTTGAGGAGTTCTATGAAAATTTTATATGGAAATAAAATTTTAAGTTTAAAAATTTTTACCGTTTTCAGGAATTCTCAAAAAACGGATCTTTTTCCGTAAGATTTGTTACGAAGTAAGTAAAGTCTAAAGGTTAAATACGCTTGAGTAAATTGCATATTAGAGCAAAGGAAGTATCCATATCCAAATCTTATTTGAAAACGGTATCTGAGTGCATTCAGGTACATTATTCCATAGACCTACCAATTTATTTAAAACTTCGTGATAAATATGGCAGTGGTGGGCTAAAATAACCAAACTCTTAATATGTTTTTAATTTTAATATAGGCCTATATATTTCATTTTTATTGTTCTTACTTTTTGGCCGAGCAGCAGTTATAGTACAGATTTTCCCAAAGTGGGCTAAAATTTCAGTTGCGGAACTATAAGGCTTCGCAACTGAAATTCTAGGGTTCCTCGAATCTTTTAAAACATTTTAAAAGTTAATGAATCAAATGTGTTATTTGTTTATTATTTTATAACTATTTTTAAGAGAACAGTTATTTATTTGAGTCGGTATACATCTCAAAAAGTAGTTGCCATTTGCCCTTATCATGCATTTGTGACAATGCCGAAGAACCTCCCTATACTTCGGCACCACGTGACCGAAGGGTCGACATCGCGTAAGCGAAGATCGCAATGACAATTTGTGTCAGGACTGACACCACTGTGTCTTCACGGCTAGACACAGAAACCGTTTCGTTCGGGCGTGTGAGCGGTCGCGTGTGTGAGTGATCAGAGTCGGGATAGAAGGAGAGACAGTGCACCGGAAGTGACTTACTCCAAGACGGGTTAACGTAACAACTGTTTAATGGGTAACAAGAGGCCATACATTTCGATTTTAAATATGCTAGTTTTTTTATACATTTCTACGATTTGATAGATATTTGATATTACATTTTTCCCCGATTTGTGTGAGAGAGAGTTTACAGAAGTTTCGCGTGGCGATAAATACCTTGTTTTGCTTTCTTGATTGAGATTCTCGAGCGTTCTTGATGAAGGAAAGGAAGTGCGGGATGTCAGATCGGGTATCCGGTAGAGGAATTATCCGTAAGAATGATAGAACGTACAGTATCCGCAAAGGTGTTAGACGATGGTACGATGTTTTCCGATGATATTTAGTAGGATATAAAAACGTAGAATAAAATGATAGATTCACAGATATCTGAATTTTGAGGCACTTAGGACAAGGTACGGGTGAAAACTTCTCTTCTGAATGACGGGCGGCGACTGCGTCACGTTGTTGTTCTGTTCTAATGTTGTACTCGTGAAAACGAGATATTAGGTCGAAAGGTGATGAGAAAGCGTCATTATTAGGCCTGAGAACTTAACAAATGTTTAGCTCCCAGGTGTAAAAGTTGACAGTTATTGAACGAAAGTATAGTTACAATGTGAAATGATATAAACACACGGAAAGTCCGAATTCGGATCCTCACACATTGTTCGTACAACTGGCATTTCATCGAACAATAAAAATAGAATATATATAATTCTTTGTTAACAAACAATTATACATATATATTTTAATTTAATCATTCAATGAATTAAGAATAAAAAATCCAGCAACGAGTTGCTTAAACTTTCAGGCAACATTTAGTAGCGTCATCTGTTATTATATTTTATTAAAAACTTTTTATATTGAGATACACATGACCCGTTTATCTCCCCACTCTCTCAACCTTTAATTACCAAAATTTAATAGCATTAATCCTTCTAATAAACAAATCTCCCTGCCAAATTTCAGAAATTTANAGAATGAATACTAGTATGTCTTAATAAACCAGAAACATGGAATATTGATAGTGAGATGAAAATATGTTGAATGACTGTGAAAATATGTTTGATACCTGATATAACATTAGAACAGATGATTTCTGTACACTGTTAAGAAGACTGTTGTAATTTTGATGGCGTGTTATAGTATGGCTTTTTTTCCCTTCAAAATAAGAGCATATCTGTTTAGTAATAAATATTTAACTTTGAAATAAGTGTTTTTAAGAAAATTAATTTAAAAAATTAACAACAAACTACAAAATAAAAGAAAAAAATTAAACTTCAAATGGAAATGAATTGATTATTGATTCTTCATGAATAAAGAAAAATTTTTAAAAATTTTAAGTATAATTATTTACATATTCTTGCAATATAAAATAAAACCTTTCAAGAATCTGTTAGTATAGATTCTTGAAAGGTAGATTATTTTTGTCATACTTGCAATAAATATCAGTTAATTTATTTATAATTATGTTTTACTTTTTTATGTTGATATCATGTATCAGTATTGTTATTTTTAGAAGTATTAGAAATATAAAAACTTTTCATTATGGAACTTCCTAATCAGAATCTCCTATTATAATTGAATATTATTTCTAAAAAACATAATTACACTGTGAAAAAATTTAGAGAAAATTTTAGATATTTCTTACTTGGAGAAAGCATTCATGTTGTTACTTTCTGAATTGATTAGCAAACCAGATGAATTGGATGTTAAAAAAGGCAGAGAATATAAAAAACTCAGTAGGTTTTCTGAAAACTAACATTAATGAAAAAAATTTTAAATATAATTGATGATGAACAGAATTCATTACAAGAAGAATAAATTTATGCTAAGTAATTTAAATTTATATTAAATTTATACAGGAAAAATATCCTTAAAATTACCAAAGAGAATTTATCTTTAGAATTGGATAAATTAACAGACAAATTATTAAGTGTAAATAAAAAAGTATATATTGAAATTATAAGTGTATTAGATTTTTTTATGAAGTACAGATACAATGAAAAATGATCAAGTTAATGATTATTATAAATTTTTTCACTATACTTAGTTAAAATATATATAATATTTTCTTATTATTATTAATAAAAATTTGAGTTAATCTCAGAAAAATAAATTGAGAGAGACATTTAGAAAAGATGAAACACTATTAATGATTAATAAATATGAAACCATAAATCAGAAATGATTTTAACAAAAAACCTCAAATAAATAATAATAATGTAATAATGGAAGAAAATAAAAATCATGAAAACATAATTGACGAAAAATTATGATATATTATCAATTATAATTCATTAAAACCAAAATAATTATTGTATACTTCTAATTCTAAAGCTTTAAAATTAGAATCAGGGCTAATATTAAGTATGTGAGTACTTAGGAAAGATGACACCATAACATCCCTCAGTTGGAAAAAATAAATACCAAATGGTAAATGTCATTTGTGTTTAATTAAATTGTATTAATGTGTTTATCATAGCCTTTAATTTACTACAATGAGAAAACAAATTAGAAAAGCATCGAAATTAAGACAAATGTTTTTAAAAGAATGATTAAAGGAAAACATTGCAAGACAAAGTCATGAAGAAAACAAAGGAGATAGCCAATGGAAAGAGTTATATTCTTAGATTTTCTTGATCTAGATTATCAAAATATTTTTTAATAATCTGTAGCAGGGAATCTAAGAATGTAAATCTGTTTTAGGGGAGGAAAGTTCATTGTTTCATTCAAGTCAAGGGAAAAATTTTTGATATGATATCTTGGGCAACTGTCCATGTTGCCTGCTTAAGTGTCAGCACAGATTAGAAGCAAAAGTTTTAGATAAAGTATTTGGATTTAGATACAATAAAAAAAAATTCAGCAATGAGTTGATCAACTTTCCGGTAACATTTAAAATTCTCTGTGGGCACCATCTGTTATAATAATATTTTATTAAAAACTTTTTATATTGAGATACACATGACCCGTTTATCTCCCCACTCTCTCAACCTTTAATTACCAAAATTTAATAGCATTAATCCTTCTAATAAACAAATCTCCCTGCCAAATTTCAGAAATTTTCGACAAAATGTACAAGAGATACAGTAGACCCCCCTATAAAACGGGTTCATACAGTTCGGATTCCTATATGACGGAGAAAAAATTGCGACCGTATTCGTATAAACACGCTAAAAGAGACGCGTATAATTCGGTAAAACGTCATCACCGACTCGTGTCGCGACAGGATTGGTCGAATCTAGACCAATAGCGGATATTGCACAAACCTTTGAGTTTAAACGAGTAGCGGATCTACTAAAAACCATTTATTATTTAACGTCCATAAAAAATTATATTTATATTAATGATGTCTCCAAAGTTCATCAAAGTTTTCACAGAAAAATAATTTATCAGGAAGCACGCGAGCGCCATTCGATGCACCGTTCGACGACGAAAATAAGCTTAAGCAATGGCGTCGTCGAACGGTGCACACTCGGTAAGTAATCTTACAATTTTTTCTTTATAGCATAGTTTATATGAATTATTCCCAAAAAATTATACGTATTTTGGAAATGTTGAGTCGAATTAGTCTAGAATCAATTAATTTTATGCAGAGCCGTAACTAGGCAGGTGCAACAGGTGCATTCGCACAGGGCACACTTGGAAGGGGGAGGGCCCAAACTGCTGTTCACAAGAAATTATAGTTTTAAATCTTAAATTTTTCCTTCTTTTTATTGGCGATTACATTTTGCCTTATTTAGACCCTAGATGTCTGCTCACCAGTGTTCTCAACCGTGGCGACTTTTAGAGGGACGTAGTGAGATAGCGGAGACCACAGACAAATCAGCCAAAAGTAGCGACTTTTGAAATTTTGTTTATTTATTTTTTGAGAAATTTAAATTTATGTTTATAGTTTTCAAATTTATAGATTTTTTTCTACTTTATAGAGCTCTCTGGCGACTACTAATATTATTACGATATACAAAACTGTATTTCTAGATTTTTCTACAGTGTGCAGAGCTAAAAATCTGTAAAGGTAACATTTTGTAAGAAAAATAAATCTGCCCGGGGATTTTTTTAAGTGATAAATTGCTAAATAGAAGACGTGGTAACTCTCGAATAAAATCTTAGTCTCGAGGTTGTAAAAGGCGTGCAGAAATTCTGACATAACTTTTTGCTTTGTAGTGGTACGCATGTGTTGTATACCTCAACGACGGATTAAGTGGTAAGCGAACTATGCGGCCGAGTAGGGCCTCGAAGGGGCCCCCCGAGGCTACTGAAAAAGGCTGATTTTTGCTTTCTCTATGGCTCTTCTTTACAATATATGAGTGTTGCTGATTTAAAAAAAATCAGCTGCAGATCTCGCTATTAAATATAGCAAAGATTTAAAAAAGTACGAATTCACAAGTGAAATTGAAAGTTTTAAGTTTGAAGTAACGACTCTTATACAAAATATAGAAACTGCATCTCCGCTTAATATTCTACAGGCTCTTCATGATTTTGGTTTAATTGAGTCTTACCCAAATATCAATGTCGCTCTTCAAATATTTCTAACTCTTCCCGTTTCTATTGCTTCGTGCGAGAGAAGTTTTAGCAAGTTAAAATTAATAAAAAATTATTTATGATCAACTATCGGCAAGAACGATTGTCCAATATTTTTATTATTTCAATAGAATACATTATCATTAAAAATATTAATTATGATCATGTAATTAATGAATTTGCTGAAACGAAAGCCAGAAAAGTTCAATTAAAATAAATCTTATTAAAACTCTATTGTAATATATTTGTTTTATTATTTTCCCAAACGAAATAAATTAAGGGGCCTAAATGCAAATTCTTGCACAGGGCACAGGAATAGCTAGTTACGGCTCTGATTTTATGGAAGGAAATCTTTCAAACAATCGTAGTCCGTAAACCTCATACGTGCCGGGCTGTGATTGGCTCATGTATTTAAGGACGCGCAGAAAATGGATTTCATAAAAATCGGAACGTATCTACCGTGTTATAGGGGGGTCGACTGTATTAAGCTTCAAAGAAGGTGAACAAAATCGTGCCCTCACACACTAACATCCATACATACTGAAAAAAAACTCCGAATTTTTTTTTGCATTTCTTAACGTTTAAAGGTGTCCTGGGCCCTAAAATGTAAAAAATAACCTTTATATTATTAATCATAATAAATAAAATTGTGTGTGGCGTCATCCATCTGCTATGAGATTTCTTTTATAAAAAAACTTTTTACATTTTTAATTATTATAAAATGGCAAAAAGCTTAATTTTGAATGTAGTGATGAGTTTAAAAAAAAAAAATAATTGTAAATGCTAATAACGAGTAAAATCTTCATTAAGTTCAACCCCTCTCGAGATATAACATATGACCCTCTCTATCTCCCCATTTCAGTGACTTTTAACTACAAAATTAATATCAAAATACCCCTGTGCCAAATTTCGTTTCTTAATCTTTAGTCTATCTCGAGATATTAAACTAAATAGATGCCAACACATATACATATATAAGCTAAATATCTATGGATTATACTTTTTATACTCTTTTGAGTTTAGGAGGTCTTAAATATTGACGATTTGCAAAAAAACTCCGAAAGTCTAGTTGACACAAATCCCAATACTTTCTTTCCCTTGTTAAATATTCCTGTGATTTTATGCCGACGTTTATCCAATTCTCAAAACATGCTTTAAAGTTGTTTTGTGAAATCCCTTCAAGACTCACAGTAAATTTTGTTTCTCGGCACCAACTGACCAATCAAAACCAATTGTCGAGGAAACAGGAAAAAGTCACACGGTGCCATATCGGGTGTATACAGAGTTGGCGGAACTAGTATTTGTTAAAATTTTGGCCAATAATTCACGAACAACAAGAGCGACGTGAACAGGTGCATTATCGTGGTGCAAAATCCATGAGTTTTATCCCCACAAATCAGGTCGTTTTCTACGAATTGCTTCATCCAAAATGCTCAAATAATATTTTTTGATGCTAAATTAACTAATCATCAAAAAATGCCAGAAGGCCAGAAGGAATTCATAATGCACAACACCACAATTGAAGAAAGCAGTCAACACGAGCTTGATTTTTGACTAATTGTGACGTTGTATTTTCGATTTCACTTCCCCTTTCTAGTGCCATTCATTCGATTGTTGAGCAGTTTCGGTGTCAAAAGCGTGGATCCATGTTTCATTACCCGTAACAATGCGTTTTAAGAACGATTCATCTCGAAAAACATTTTTTATCACTCTAACACGTTGTTCTTTTGAAAAAATTCAACGTTTTCGGGATGACTCGAGAAGAAACGCACTGCAAGCCCAAATTATTTTGTAAAATTGTTTGATAAGATTTAAATGATACTGGAACATGTTCAATAATGTCCCCAAAAGTGAAACGACGATCACCGAGCACACAATCTCTTACTTGAACGACGTGTTGTTCATCAGTTGAAGTGGATGGTTTACAAGAGCGTAGTTCATTTTCGACGCGTTTTCTGCATTCCTCTAACATCTTGTACCACTCGAAAACTCTTGTTTTTGATAGATTATCATCACCAAAGGCTCTGTGCAACATTTCCAACGCTTTTGTAATAGTAATTCCGTTGCGAAAACAAAACTTAATCCACGTTCTTTGTTCAATTACACTGGACATTTTGAAAAATCTTTATCGCAAAACTTCTTTTCACACAAAACAAGCGTTTATTTGCAAACGTAAACAGACGATGGCATACGGATTGCTGCTAGATGTTAATGAAAGTCGTACAAAATGACGAATAAAATCCAGCAACGAGTTACTTAACTTTCCAGGTAACATTTAAACTGTGTGTGGCACCATCTGTTATAATATTTTATTTTTAAAAATTTTTATATTTTTAATTATTATAAAATGGAAAAAAGCTTAATTTTGAGGGTAGGGGTGGGTTTTATAAAAAAATTGTAGATGCTAATAATGAGTAAAATCGTCATTAAGTCCGATCCCGCTTGAGATATGAATCTTGAACCTCAGAATTCGCGCACTCTCGCGATCATTAATCGCCAAAATTTAATAGCATCAATTCCCCTAATACAGAAACCTTCCTGCAAAATTCCAGAAATTTTCGACAAGAAGCACAGGAGTTGTTAAGCAGGTGAACAAGCCCGTGCTCCTCCAACACACTAACATCCATACATACAGAAAAGTTTTTATATTTTTCGATGTTTTAAGGTCTCATGAATCAAAAGGTCTCATGAATCATGAACGGATATGTTGTCTCTCACCACCCGGCCGTCCCATTGTGGACCTAGCCGAACCCATAATGGGCTTGCTAAAAGAGGCCCTCTTAGTGCCCACAGGGCGGAAAGAGTTAATAAAAGTTGAATATGGATATTTGAATTACGATAATTACTATCATTCGATCTTTGTGAAAGTTTTACAAATATTCAGCAACATTATTATTTGTTTTCAATTTGAAAAAATAATGTAAATAATAGAAGAGAATATTTTCTAACAACCACTAATTTTTGAATTTATTCTTAGGCGACATTCATTCGCCCGATACGAATTTTTCAATTTCACTAAGAAAATGATTTAAGTTTAAAAATTTAATGAATTGCATTTTATTTTAGTCAATTATTATATAAAACCATCGGATTTAATATAATACACGCTTAATTAATTTTAAGATAGAAAAAAGTAATAAATAGATATTTTTTTAAAAATATATTTTCCGTATTTAAAAAATTAAAGTGGCGCTGCAGTACAAATCAATGCGAAAGTCACTGTGCTTTTCTGTTATGATCTGGTTACTTTTGAAATAAAAACTTTAATTTTATATTTAGTGGCGATTTTATGTTGTACGTAATTTTAAGTAATGAAGCAGTAAAGCAAAAGGAAATTCATCTCTCTTCATTAATAATTTCTAGTACAAGTATGTATGCTTTTATATATATATGAGTATTGATGGTTTTGAATGAATAAGTGTTTTCCCCCTGTTTAAATACCTTTATTTAAATTGTATTATTTAATAATGGATCTTAAACAGGTCTTGTTTATATATTACATGTAATTAATTAAATGGTTTAATTATTATGGCAAAATATCAATTTATTTTGGTGTCACTTGTGTGATTAATGATTTGTCTACAGGTTTAATAAATTTGAAGTTTTTCCAAATGAATGATTGACAGATAGATGAATATTATTGATTAGTAAAAAGATAAAACAATAATCAAAAATTTTTCACTTAAGTTTTTTTAGGTCAGTTCTGTTATCTTATTTATTTTTCTTGGATCAGATAATTATCAAAATTGATATAATAGACATTTCTATTAGTAATTATATGAGGAAACTGTTGAAATTATGCTAACATTCATCTGTTCACTATATAGTTAAATTGCTAATTATTTTCTATCTGTCAGTTATGAAAAATTTACCATCTGTTAGGTTCAAAATCTGAAACTTTAATGTCGATGTAATTCCATTAAGCTGCTTGTTATTAATGGTATATTCCGTGCTAACTTGTTACACTAACTATAAACAAATACAGTAAACATTAAAACAATCAAATAATTAAGAATTTACAAAATGCTTTATCGATAAAGGAGATATTTAATAAATGTCTTCTTTATTGATATAAGTTTAATTAAGGTTAAAACTCTAATTAATGATTTTAAAATAATTAGTAAATTGGTCATTAGACATATTTTACAAGAGTGTAAGTAATGAAAAATATGGAAATATGTTACTTTGTTTATTTCGTTGAAGAAAATATTTTTTGCAAATGTTTTTGGCCTTGTTCAAGTCATTGTCAGGTGTTTTATTGAAGATTTTATAGCTGAACTTCTATATTTGAAACACTTTAAAATTAAGTTTGGCTTTAGCGCTTGTTAGGACTATGACAATCTTCTTATAAGTATTGGCTGGCAATGCCATATTGAAACATAAAACTTATTTGAAAACATTTGCTGTATGTATATAGCGAAAGTGCTGTAAATATGCAAAGATCTGCTTATCTATTAATACATAAGTTCCAGCTATGTTTTTTTCTTGTGTTTTAATCATATAATTTTTAACCCCTATCAAATTTCTTTTCCATATGAGATTTGCTACTTCTGATAAATCTTATTCAGCCAAATTCTGGTAAAACTTTTTCATCTATTAAAACCTGTTTTGCGTATCATTCTTAACTACTAAATATTTAAATGAACAAATAATCACTATTATTAATATTTACATAATCTGCCAAAATTTAACATATTTAAAATAATTTTAAAGATTGCACTTGTTTGAATAATTACAATGAATTGCTGGTTAATATATTACATAATTGTTTTTAAATGTTCTGAATAAATTACAAGTTCCTTAAAAACATACAATGAATAAATTATGACTTTGAGAATTTTGATGAATTTACATTAAAGAAATCATCATGCTGTAGTTTTGAACTGTATACTTCAGATTTATTTCAGAAATAAACATATGAAAGTTTTTACCAATGGTGTGCAGTGACATTTGACGATAGGGAAGCTGTGCTGGCCCTGGATAGAATCATTGAAAGCGTTATACAATGTTTTGGTGTGTAGCATCCATGAGCTAAACCACATGAGGTTTGTGCTCTGTAAAGCGCATGCGCAAATGCATATATTCTGGCTGCTTTACACGATTCAAATATTTTCGCCATGGAAGCTATCCTGTATTCAACAATACAGTGCTTCCATTGGGAATATGCATATACAAATTTATATTCGTATATACAATAGCAATCTTATCATTTTTTTTTTCCACATGTAGTATAGAAATTTGTAATAAGATACATAATGTGGTTAAAATAAAATATTAATTTTAATTAATTCAAAGTACATTAAAATATGAAAATAATCACACAATATGTATTTATATTTTAGAAAATACAAGGGAAGAAGTGCTTTCACAGCTTCCATGGATGGCATGCCACTGGTTTTCACATTGGAAATGAATTTTAGTATCAAATAGGGTGCATATAACAAACAAAATATAATTAAATAAAAGAAAATAATGAAAAAATACAGCCAATAAAACTGTATTAGTCAATAATTATAAGTTTCAAGTTTTTGAAACCTGACAAAGATAATTATTTAATATAATAATTATGGAATATTGACATTTATCACTTTCTTGACAGAGCCTTAAAAATTACAGTTTATTAATTTTAAATTAGAATTTTTTTACTGTTTGATCATTTATTTTATTAATATTTTTGAAATCTCTTGGATATATTCTAGAATAACAAAGTAGTTTGAATTTGATACAAAGAATTACAAAATGAAAATTTTCACACTTCTTAATAAGGATGTGTAAACTAAAAGCCTAGAATATGAAAATAATTTATTCTGTAAGTTGTAGGATTACAAAATAAACAATGCATTTAAAATAAAGAAAACATGTTTGAACAGTTCAGTTTAATAAAATTGAATCTACTCCATGGCCTGATGCCTTTCAAACTTGTATTCACACATTTCAAAAGGTTCTGGAAGTCCTTGGTTGTAAATTGGTGGAGCTTGTTCTGAATTATTTTGCAAAGTTCTGCAACAGAATTGGCCTTCCATTCTCCATCATAAACTTTCTGCTTTAACCAGTACCAAAACTATTTTATTGATAACAACTGAGATACATTAGACACTTTATTTCCATGAGGAATTTCCTTTACTGTATTCCATGTTAATCAAAGGCAGCAGCTGTGTCTTGGCAGTCATAATATCTTAAAGCATCTTTTCTCAAACTGGGTGATAACCCTCCCTTGTGGGTGCTGGAGTCTTTCAGGGGGGCAGTAGAAGGCTAAGTGATTAAATATGAGTTTTATTTCTTCTCATTGAAACATTCTTTTTTTTCAGAAATAGGATATGGGTCACACCCTATCTTTCCTATCCATATAATAATGCATGTTTAAGCATTATATTTGCAATAACTGTTTTTAAGATATGCAACAGGTGGTAATGTAAAAAGGTAAGTTAATAAATATGGGGGCACTAGATTTTTTTTAATCTCAAAGTGGGCAGTGGTCGAAATAAGTTTGAGAACCTGTGTCTTAAAGCTAGATGTTACCATTTCTGGCAAAACCCCATAATTAAGACTTCTCCATAATGACATCCAGGTTGTTTCTGTGTGGCAGATCTCTGTTCAATCAGAATAACTTTGAATTTCCAACTGTCTCAAGATATACTTGGGTGCAGAAATTCTTTTGCTAATAACAATATTCCTTTCAACAAATAACATTACAACCTCTGATACATATAAAATACAAGCCAACCAATGTTATATGTTCTGAAAACATACAGCATTGGTTGTCTTGTAATATTCCTTTCCTTCTTTTTTCAATCAATCTTTATTATTCAATATAACTGATGTTATTACAAAGGGGGTTAAATTTAATATATCAGCCAGTAAGTTTTTTCTAACTTATATTTTAAGCACCTGTTCAATTTTTTGTTGTCAAAATTTAAAAATGCAATAAAATATGATGGAAAGCAATTATCAGGATGATAGACTAGATGCAAGATGACTTATATAGGATGATAAGTATTCTCATCCTAGATATTTGGTAAACACATTCTTTGAAGATACAAAATTAGAGAGATTTTAAAAGTCAGACAATTATTCTATAAGTCATCTAAAGTATTGCAATAACTTCTAAAATTCAACCTTAACTTATAAAGTCATAGAATATTAATTCTTTCTAGAGAATTTCTAAATACATTTGACTCTTGAATTTTTTCTAAATACATTTGATTCTTGAACTTTTTCTAAATACATTTGAATTTCTCTTGAAGCAATGCATTTCGAAAGAATGTATTGCTTCAAGATTTACTGTTTTATGATGAATCTAGATTCAACTTTCAGAATGATTTTAACATGTTTGGTATGGTGATAATCAGAAATCTATTGTACTCTCTAGTATCAAAGAATGGGACTATTATGGAGATGTAGTTTAATAGTTTTGGGAAGAATAATGTTTATTGAATACAGTGATTTACATATTTTAGGAATTGAACTCTTGATTATTTACTGATATATTTATGAGATACTCAAACCTATTTTACCCTTTTTATGATGCAGTTGGTTTTTTTATCATCATAGATAGGGTGATAAGTGAGCATTAAAATGAAACATGCAATATAAAGCTTTCTTCCTGGTATTTATGGACTTCTTCCCTTCTTTTGTTTTTGCCAATGTAAACAAAATCAAAATGTAAAACATTGAAAATTTAAACTTGGAGTTTAAATATTCTGTATTTTACAAGTTTTCTACATTTAAAAATTTGTATTTGTCAACTAACATTTTATGATTAATGTAACATAAATAATAGGATTAGAAAAAACAAAATGGTAAATATGTAATTTCTATAATTTTATAAAATATAGAATTTGGGAATGATTGTAACTTTTTAAATATAAAACATCAATCAAGATAGTGGGAAATAAACACATCTGATATCCTTTGTGCTGACTAATTTTGGATCATATGTTCCATTTAATATTTAAATGCCATACAATACGCAGTTATTTTTATTTCTGGCCTTTATGCTTGGGAGACCAAGCAAATTCTTAATTTGCTTACAGGATAATCCATCACTAAATGCAAGAAGAAAATGCAAAAGGCATTCTTTAGATTAATATTATACCTAGTTGTTTTACAAATAAAATAGGCCTCTAATATATAAAAATAATAATAATGTCATAATTAATTAAATTTATCATTATCAATATATAATTATTTTTTTCTTAAATAAAATCTAACAATAAAAGAGTATATAAATATATTTAGTTAAATATTTAAAGTGAATAAACAACTAATATATATATAAAGAACAATAAAATTTTTCTCAGTTGTTTTTAAAATAAACATACAGTGGAACCACAGTTAATGAACTTAATCCATTCTGCGACTCTGTTCG